ACCTAGGTTCCTGTTTTAATTTAGATTTTCATTTTCAATTATATTCAATAAACATTAATTAATTTATTGAATTTACTAGCATTTATATAAACTAATTCAACTTCATTATTCAAATTTTTTTATTTTTCTTCCATTTTAAGATTTTCTATTCTCAAAACATTTTAAATAATTTATAAAAAGATTGATACATTATTAACCTAAGAAATTGGAAATATATTTTTCTGAATTTCTATCTTTCTCTACTCTTATTGATCATCCAATATTTTAATTCATTTTTTGGCTTAAATTGATGATTATAAAATTATAAAACTAACACAAGTTTCAAGGAAAATCTTTTGGTAAATAATATATCATTTATGTAAAAACTCAATTATCAACTTTAAATGTATAAAAAAACAATGAAAAGAAACAATTTAAATTGAATTCTTTGTTTTCGATCTTGCACGATTATGATTGAATTATATTTCTCTCATTTTATCTTATTCGAATTCAATATTATCAAAACAATTCAATTTTATTTTACATTATCCATATTAATGATTTGATTTAAATGAATAATAATATCAATACAATTAATAGTTAAAATAAGATTTTTAATTAGTTATACAAAAATAATTGTAAGTCAAATTAAATATAAAGTTTCTATTATCCTTTACAATTATCTAAAATCGAGAAGCTATCTATCAGTTAATTTTCAAATGAAATTAGCAAAATTGCTAAATCACTTATTTATATAAAAATATAGAATAAATGAAGATTTTAGAATCGAATCGATAATCTCATTTTCAAGTGTATTATTTTCATATTTTGTTTTTTGAGTTTAAAATAATCCTAAAGCAAAAGAGAATAAAAGGATAGGTCTAAAGATCCATACTATATAGGAAGCAGGATCTCGAGTTGATTCATTTATGATTAATTCGAAATCAAGATGAACAACAAAGGATTATAATAAAGAATTTCCTGAAACTAAGTTTAACTATACCAATTATCTAATTACTTGTCTAATATGCTAATACTATATTTTGTTTTTAATTTCTTTACTGATTATTGTATTGATTATTTTTTTTAAAGACTTATTTTATTTAAATATTTTTTTTCTTTATTCTATGAAGAATTATATGTGATTCATTTGGTTTTTAAGGTTTTAATATATATTATTATTTCTTCCTTCTAGTTATATTAAAGATTAATATCAATTATTTTCCTACATTTTTCCGTTAGAATAGACTTAGCTCTTGGCTCAATATTTTTGTTCAATAGCTTTTTAATCTTAATAAAAATTAAAATTTTATTCTTAAGATAAATAAATCGATACTCAAAATCATAATTTGCACTCCATAATATTCTTTATTGGATTTAATGAAAACGGATCCTTAGATTAATTTGAATTCTAATTTAAATTACTTTAAAATTTCTTTATTAAACTTTTTTTTAATTTAGAATAGATAGTATATATCTAAAACCCTATATTGAGTATTAAAACCGAAAGTAACATAGATATGTGAAACCAACCTAATATAATTTAAATATCATAATTAATGTAAGTTTGCATTAGATCCCAATAAAATGCAACCATCAAACTATCAACACACTAGCCTCCGTTATTATTAAATTCAGATAATCAAATTTTTTTTCACTTTTTGTAAATAAAATTATATAAAACAAGCTAAAAGTGCAAACAAGCTTTAATAGTATTGATAATACTAAAATTCCTGCAAATATGAATTTTTTTAAGATTAAAAATAAATCAAACTTTTTAATTTTATATCGGGTCATTGAAGTATATATAGTCTCTCTAAAAAAATATTTAGATATTAATATTAAAAAAGAATATAAGATTAAATATCCTAAAATAATTGATATTATGGATCTTGTTGTGGTAAATGATTAGGAACTTATTGATATAAATGACATATATA